AGTTAAAAACTAAATAAAAAATTCAAAGCTAAGGGTAGTAAAAATAAGTAAGAGGCCTGGGCTTCAGCCCAGCCCAGGCCTCTGGTGGATCCGTCTCTGCTTCTAGGCATCTACTGAACACAAAAATTGATGATTGTTTCAGATGTAGTTTTGAAGCTTTATGCTGTAGCAAAAATACGACTGAAAAAAATATATATACTGCATACGTCTTATTCACTCGTCCAGAAAAAGTTCGAATTCAACAACAAATCGAAGGTCAGTAATTCGAGAAATTGCCGTAAGAAAGCTCGCGAAGAAAAGCCCACTCCACAGACTTCTGGCGTCGTCCATAAAAACCCTTTGACAAAGAATCCTCCACGGCAGAATAAATCATCGAGAGACAATGACTCTTATTTCGTTTGATTTATTGTGTTGTGGGATATGTTGTGTTTATATATAATATATTTTTTCAGTATATGTTCTCGTAAACACAATCGACAGTCCCATGTGTTTTCTGTATATCTTATGTATATAATGACAAAATTTGATTTATTTTTGTATATCTGTTGTGTACTTTATTTATGTCATTTGTATATAGTCTGTATATAATGAGTATATCTTTTGTTTATAAATCACATCGTGTATTTTGTATGTGTTAAACCAGAAAATATACTATAAATATACAGAAAAAACACGTGATGTAAATAACACAAAAAATAAACATAAAAGGATTACGAATAGATAAAATTACCAGGTTTATTTCGTATATTTTTCCGGACTTATATATAGGTTTATTTCGTATATTTTTTCTGGACTAATATGTTTTCTGTATATGTTCTGTATATATTATGTTTTCGTATACAGAAAACACGCGAGGAGTATATAACACATAAACTAAATCTTAAAATTATATCGAAAAGAAAATAATATCTTATTTTTTTCGGATATTTTCTGGGATTGTATGAGCAGAAATCGATTGATTTTATTGAACAATATCCTATATATTAGGATATACTTACCATTTGAACGGTTGATTAACAATCCCTATATTTAAGGATAATGATCTTTGTTTGTTGAGGTAACCGAAATATGGCATTATCATAATTAAATTCCATGCATTAGGTAAGTTTGCAATTTAATTAATCCTTTGGTAATGTTGCAATTAATTATAGAACGCCGTGTATAGATAAAATCTCCCAAAAAAGTATATACTAAATTAATGGTGCCCTTCTTTTAATTGCTGCCTGGGCCTGGGCTGGCTCTGCCTCGTCGGCTACCATTAACGATACCATCAACCACCGCAAGGTAGAAAGGCCGCCATGAATGATGTCGTCAGCCGTCGCCGAGTTTCTTTACCTGGTCAAACTTGCTTTTGAATTCTGGGATCTGTTCAATATCATATGCGATGGCATTTTGTTTACCATATTTAGCCAAGTTCATCATCATGCGCTCTTGCATTGCCCTCAAATGTTCAGTACCTTGGGCATTTTTATTTATTTTTTTCCCATCATTTATTCCTTATCTAATATCTCCTACCTTGGGCATGGAGCAGCGCGGCTGGACAAATTGTCATCCCAATACATGGCCTATGCAATGCACGCAGAAACGATACTAAGATTTTATCATAAATCAAATATATAAATAACATTAATTATGATTCATCCTTTGTTTTCAAAATTGAATCGGATTGAATAGTCCGATCAGATGGATCGAAAACATGTTTATCGATCGGTATGTTCGCTTAACAAAAAATGTGCTAGCAAACCAGTCAACACTAGTTGGTCGGATTAGTAGGATCAATATAATTTTTAAAAAAATAATTTTATTATTAATAAATATACATATTTAAATAAAATGGATAGTTATAAACTTTTATCAATTAGTTTAAATATTTGAATATTATAAATTGTTCACATTCTTAGTTAATATTTATTATATAAGTTTATTACAAGACCTATATATATATATATATATATATATTAAAAAGTTAATAAATTAAATTTCTCGTCCAACCAATTAACCATTGAATAAATAACTTGATCGATTTGATAATTGTCCGAATATGAGAACCTTGGATTTGCATTACATTAATAAAAGTTGTAATATAATAACATTTTATTCACATAAATATTAATATAATATATAAATGTTGAACATATTATCATAAAAGTATTCTTAATATGATTATTTGGAGCTTGAACTATATTATATTCATCATAATAAAGTATTTTTAATACTAAAATTATATTTAGTTTCAATAATATATGTGAGCTCACCAAACTAACCCATAACATGGTCACCCGTGATCAACTCCAGTTGTGTCATGTTATTCAACCGACAACAATGTAATTCAATCACTTGATTGATCCAATTTTTTTTTCTTATTTTCCTTAAATATAATTAATTTTATAAATAAAAAATATTTTATGATTCATGTAGTAAATATTTATAAAAAATGACAATATACTAAATAATATATTCATCTACATCATTTTTAACATCAAACTGCTCTGGCGTATTAATTTATATCAACATAAAAGTGTTAATGAAATAATATATTAATTAATTTAGTAGTACTAATTTTGTTCAAAATGCAATACATATCGGTTCACACAAAATCACGAGGACTCAAAAAAAAAATAAGATTTTTTTTCCCTCACTGTACTAAGGATTAATTACTGAAGAGCTAACCTATATGCACTTTTCCCAATTTTTAATGGGTGTTGTTATTCACCGCCCCCCATTTTACTAGTCACCGCCCCCCTTGGACAATTTTGCCCTTCTCATTTTTTCTAAACATCTCAGAGGAAAGTGTACGGTGAAATGTCGTCAAATTCGGAGGTACGAAAAAATACGTGTACGGTCGCCGGTTCCGGACGGGCTAAAAGCCGTCCGGACGCCGGAACCGGACGGACTAAAAGCCGTCCGGACCGGCCGGCCGGACGACAAGTAATACCGGCCGGAAAGCACGGCCGGACGGACCGTTGCTGTCCGGACCGGCCGGCCGGACGGCAAGAAAGCCGTCCGGAAACGACGGCCGGTCGGAACCGGTCCGTCCGGTTCGGCCGGCCGGCCGGATTTTTTTTTTTTTTTTTTTTTTTTTT